CTGTCTCTATCCAGAATGGTCTGGAAAAATGGTCTGTTGGAGGGTCTCTGAAACCATGTAGACGGTAATTAAAGGCTGCAAGCCCTGGAACGTCTTCTGAGAACATAGTAGCATATCCTTTGTCATTGTAATTTCTAAATATCCAGCGCCATCTGTCTACAGGTTGTGAGCCGCTCATTCTCCGTCGAGCCTCAGGTTGCTTATTCTCGTCGATTCCAGTGAGCATTCCACACAGCTGCGCAGTGGTGCCGTCCCCTACGATTGTTTCTCCTATCAAAAACGTAAAACTGAGGCTGAATCGTTTTTAACGTTTTCAACCCTATCTAGAAATGATTAGAACTTTTGAAGCTAATGATATAGAAATCAGTGTAACCATTTGAGCCTTTTTTTGCGACTTTGATATGTTGAATCACCGTGCAGTGCTGCGGATTGGCGCTGTTTTGTATTTTACAGGATAAAATGTGACTGCAATTTCTGCTGATCAAAATAATTTTTGTAATTTTATTTTCAAGCATGAGAATTTAAAAAGAGAAGATGCCATTCTAGACTCTCCTATATTGTTTAGTAACATCACACTCGATAATCAACTGAATTCTTTTCACAGTTACATTATGAGCTGGAGATTCCTTTCGCGCGATGGTTGATGAGGAAGAAACCCGAATCAAAAGTCACTGATTATCCTTGCAATCTTATTGGCTCTCAGTGGTGCGATTTATTCATGAATTGTATCATTTCTTGCTGTAAATCGCATCTTTTCTACCAGCCTATGAGAAACCTTTATTAAAACACATCAACCAGTCACATTTCAAGGCTTATTTAAAGTAACCAATCAAATAAGAGAAATATGAAATACAACTTTTGAAACTTTTTATAAACCAGCCCAGCACTATCAATAAAGTATTTGTAAAGACCGAAAAGACCTGTATTTGAGCAGCTGAATTTTGTGCTTTCAAAGTGGATGTAATAAAGTGGTAACTGAACTTCCTGTCGAGGAATTTTGGTTTTAAATCATACTAAACTAATGATAAAATTCTTGAATGTGATTGGTTATCACCAGCCCGATTTGAGCACTAATAGGACAGTGTACGCATCATGCTTGTAATAGGACAGTTAAAGGGACAGTCAACACGTCATGCCTGCGTAAGTGGACAGAACGTATCATGTGCGCACGCTGGTGTCTCGCATTTCGCCGAGTAAACTGTTATTGTTGTCGTTGTTTTTTTGTGAAAACGTATAACCGATATCTAATTTCTTTCCCAAATTTTGTCATAGTTTTAATTAATTGGTAACAGGACTTCGTGTCGTCCAACTCTGTCTGTAATCGGATAACGAGTAGCGTAACTAATCAGATTAAAGCGCTTGACTGTAGACTGACCCTAATAAAAAACACAAGCCAATCCCCTACACCCCCCCCCCTCTCTTTTCAGGGCTTTCCGCAGTTTTTCATTTGTCCAAAGATTCGGTCGCCGTTTGCTAAGCTCAGGTTGTAGAGTGCCGGACTGCCGTGCAGGAGGAAGTCGAGAGTTCAAGGAGGGGGGCATTGGGGTCTATAAGAAACCGCAAAACCGTAGAAAAAAAATTATCCAAAACCGCAAAACAGCAAAAATACAGTCGATCAACTCTCTCACCTCTCGACATCTATTTCGCAAAACATTACCCGCCGTATG